TAAAGCTAGGAAAAAACTAAAAAGCTTCTAATTATTTGTTGGATTTTTTTATCTTATATCCTTAGATCATATATTACTAATGTATTTATTGTACCATTTTATAATTAATTTACATGAAAAATATAAATATTGATTTTAATTTAATTAATTAACTAATAAAAATTATTCATGTAATAATGATGTTAAAATAAAGACTAATTTTTGTTTTTTTTATAAATTAAATGTAAAATGAAGTATTTATTGCACCTTAATATTACAAATTAGATAAATCCTCATTTGTTTAAAAAAGAAATTAAAAGGTAAATTGGATCTCTTTTTATGAGGAGCCAAATGAAAGGAATGAGTGGTTTAAACTTTAACCTTAAAGTAATTAGGGAACAAGAACCAAACATATAAAAAATATATTATTATATGATTGGGATTCAAAGAGTGACATAAATCAATTATATGCGCGTTGATTGGAAGAAGAAGATATACCTTAAATTGCTAGTATTTTCTCCAACCGATAAGTGTAAGGATCGACCAATGTGCCTGACAAAAACTTCTCCACAAGTTGCCTGTAAAGTAGAAACCAAAATGCAAAAAATTTAAAAGGAAGAAAATCACTATGCGATCTATGATAAGAAAAGTAAAAACCAAACAAGAGATTATGCTACAACAGAATACAATTTAATAAAAAGATCAAAAAGTCGGAAATATCAAAGTATAATGAAAAGATTATGCTACTATCTATTAAAGTTTAATGAAAAGATTATAGTACTAGATTATACTCCTCTAAGTATCAGAAAATAAAGCTTTAAGGGAAGTAAAAGGAATGTGGAAAAACACACATTTAGGAATTAGGAACTATATATACCTGCTGCCTGAAAATTGCGCTTCTTCAATTTGAGTCTTTGAGAATATTGAAAGTGTAAATTGCAGAATATGATGTAGATTTCTCCAAATTGATGCAATCTGCAAAACAAGAGAATACAATGTGAGATGGAAAGTTAAATATAGGAAAATTTTCACCAAAAGAAAATGGTTTACAGAAAAAATGGTACAGAATCAGCAGTAAAGTTAGGAAGGTTTTAGGAGTTTTTGCAAGCTAAGGCCACATTAAGGTAAGTTTTACCATTTTGTTAACTTGGACTTAAAAAAACTGGAAGTTTAAGTTGCATTAACATGGTACAGCAAAAGAAGTTTAAGTGTAAAATTTAGAAACTTGAAATATTATTTATGTGCATGCAAGATATATAGAAAATTACCATTAATTTTTTATCACCCTTTCTGTTTGCATGTGCTAGAACCTTGTGAAAGATGATTTTTTGATTGAAAATCTGCAAGATGCGAAAGTCGGTAGTCACGTTAGTTTGTTGTGCAGTTACTTTATCTCGCTTATTTGCTGAGTGTGTGAACTGAACTAAAAATGAAGTACATGCAGATACATTTGAAAGATTGCATCATAATTAATGTGAGAACTGAACCATGGCTAGTCCATTGTTGGCTAAAGCATGCATTTAGTTCTTTATTTTAGTAAATTTGAAACTTTTATCAATTCATCTTATATTATAGAGTTTTTAGTCCATGAATTTAAATTAGTGTTTTAGTTGGGGGAAACTTTTCCTCCTAAAGTTCTCTAAACTTTTTATCTTACAAGGTTATTTACATATTTTTACACATTAAAACTACAACAAAATGAGAGTAAAAGGGACATTCAATTTATATTTTCCCTGACACAAATTCTCAACTTATAAAATTTTCTTTCCACCTACTTCGTAAGAAAAAAGTTTTTCCACAACTATTCTCATATTGATCCCACTTAACAACTTTTCCTATATTAG